TTTTTGTTTTTGTTTTTTTCATTTTAACATTATTCCAGTTCTGGATGTGAATTTTAGGTATGGTAGCTGCGCTTACTCCTTTGCCAGTAATTGGTGTTCCTGTACGTGCTTCTACATTGGACGGAATCGATTCACTCCTATCAATTGTGCAGGTAACATTGCACAAATCCAGTTGCCTGCATCTTATTGCCTAGAAGCAGCACATTCCCATTTACTAGAATGTTTTATTATCCCTCTTCTCTATCTTTTCTTGTCCGTGAAATGGATATTTGTGTGCCATATTTTGCCAAATCATGACTACATGACAGTAGTGTCTGATTTTGTAGTCTCTGTATCAATGTGACGCTTTTCAATGTCTCTGGTGTTTCCAGCAAAATAGCTTAAATGTCTTGCATTAATTCTGCAGATGCCAAGGGGCGTCCCAGGTGCAACAGTTGCTGTAAACAATGCCACAAACGCAGGTTTGCTGGCTGTAAGGATGTTGGGTGTCGGTGACAGCCATCTAGTAGCAAGGTTAGATTCTCCATTTGGTTAAACAAAACATATTTTTTTTAGAGCAATGAAAAGTCATTATATTGATTGCTTATGTTATTGATGCGGCGATAAACTTTGTGCAGAATGAGTCAATACCAAGAAGACACGAGGAGCGATGTCTTGTTAAAGGCAGATAAGCTAGAAAAAGATGGCTGGGAATCTTATTTAAATCCTTGAGAACCATATAATTTCTTTTGGTGATATGTATTCATTTTTGTCATTCAACAAATTATATTATGGCCAACCTGATCAAAGGTTTTAGAGAAAACCCCATTGCCAGACAAGTTCAGCAAGTGAATAAAGACTCGGACATTAAACAAAAAATATTAGAACGAGAAGTAGAAAAAGGAGAAAGGATATGTGCAAATAGGTGAGCAAAGGGAATCATCAAGATTGTTAGCGTTAAAAATATTTGCAGTTTGACAGTTTGAGTGATGATGCAGGGATGTAACTATTTTTCTTTCCTATGTATTTCTTTATTCAACTGTCATCTTGTCATTCATAAAGGGACTAGGACAAACTTGTTTGGAGACATTTTGCAATTTTTTTTTTTTTAAATGATAAGAAGCTTGTATTTTCTTTATTTTCTTACTTCCTAGTCTTGAGAAGTAAAACGTCAATTTTCCATCAAAAAGATGAAAAGAACTTATATAATGACTTAGTTTAGTAATGCTGTGGATTTTAAAAAAAGTGCTTGCAGAAGTTTCTTGCAGATTTTTAAAAAGAACCCCACCAAAATTGATAATTATGATATTTGGTTGCGTTAATAAAATTGACAATTTATCATTATGTTATTTTTAGTTGTAATTTTATTGTGAATAAAGAAATAAAAAAAAGAGAATTAATTATCATAAATTTATTGTTAAAAAATTTAAAATCATAACATTATGTTTTTTTTTTAAAGTTAAACAACTATTTTTAAATATCAAAAACAATTATATATATAAAAATTACATATCATGTCTATTTTGGTCATTTTACATACCCACAGTAATTCCACCTCAAAATTTACCAAACGCTATTTACTGATTTTAGAACCAGCACAGCTACTATAATTACAATTTACCAAACACTTAGCCACTTTTTAAAACAGCTACTTTTTTTTTCAGTACAATTAAAAGCACTTTTTTTAAAATCTACAGCATTACCAAACTAAGCCCACGTCTTCTTTACATAAAGAATATAAATGTATGTATGTTATGTAATCCAGCCACGCACTCTTGGGTTCTCTATGAAACTGTCCAAAAAGGTGACAATATCCTGAGATATATAGGTAGACAAAGATAAAGAAGAATGAGTTTTTGGGTATAGCCAACGAAACGTTTCGTTGGCCTCTTTCTTTTTGGGCTGTTAGAGAAGGGGATTTAGTGCGGTAGAATTTACTGTAACAGCCACGTTTCAAGATACGATTCGGCGTACTCTGTAATGAGATAAACGTGGCAATCTACGGCCCACTAATCATACGAACGGCTACTTGTCACGACATTATTCGTTAGCAAAAAACCGCGCTCACATAAGCACGAGACAAAGGATCCTGCAAGACTACGTAGTGGGCCGACATCCTATTCCACGTGGTGCACTTTGGTTGCCTGGTGGGAGATAGTGGCGGGTCCCACTGACGCTGGACAGCTGCGACACTTGACGAGGTTATAGTTGCACGCGCAATTGTAAAACCGTGCTCCAAACGCGCGAATCGCGGCCGTTCATGCATTTGATCATCGGTCTTAAATTAGTTCTGATTTTATTTTTATTATTATTATGTATATAATTGTATTTATTTGTTTTGAATTCATTGGTAGACCGATTTGTCTATTTTAACACATACTACTTAGATAAAAATACTTCCTAAAAAAATAAAATTAAATAAAAATACACTGAAATAAAATAACATCATATTAAGTTAAATAAAAAAATTAAAGATATCAAAATAGAACAAATCTAAAACACAACGAAATAAGTTAAAATCTTTTTTTTTTCTATCTTTACTTCGGATCTTTTTTTCGTTTTTGTTTGCTTTTATTTTGTGTCTTTTTTTACTATAAATAATTTAAATAAAAATAAAATTAATCAAAGATACATTAAAATAAAATAAAATCACACCAATTAAATAAAAAAATAGAGTTAATTTAAAACACAACAAAAATGAGTTTTTTTTTTTCCGTCTTTATTTTGTTCATGTCTTTTATTTCAAAGCTTTTTCCACTTTTGTCTTCATTTCTTTTATTTATGTCATTACTTTTCCTTCTTTCTCTTTTCTTTTTTAATAAACAATTTGTGTAACTATTATTTTACGCGTTAATATATTCTATACTATGAGAGAGAATGGGTGTTCTTGCGGTGCTGAATGAAGCGTTTCGTTTCGCGTTTTTATTTTTTATTTTTTTGCTGCTAGAGGGAAAAACCGAGCTCAACAGGCACACATCAAAGAATCTCGCATAGCCCTTTAATGGCTGACACAAACTGCTACATGTTGCCTTATGATTGGCTGGAGAGAAAAAGTGCTGGGGCCTTCCTGCTGTGATGCTGATGCGTATGCGCCTTTTGCGTGTGTAGTTCACACATCGATCTGTGCCATTGGTATTTTTGATTCGGTGTCTTGAAAAAAATTTCTCGTTTATTTATTATTATATCTATTTATTAGTCTTAAAATAATTTATGATCTGATTTTATCCATTTTAATATTATTTTATGTTAAATTTTAGGTACTATTTAAATATAAATACTATAAATTATAAATAAAATTAAACAAAAATATGATAAAATTAAATAAAATCACACTAAATTAAAAAAAAATAAATTTAACAAAACAGAAGAATTAACTTTAAACGCAACGAAATAAGTTAAAAAATTTTCCTTTTTTTCCATTATTGTTTTCATCTCTTTTATATTTTTTTTGTTACTTCTTTCTCTTTATTTAAAATAATTTTTATAACCATTATTTTTAATTAATCACGCATCCATAGATCATGTTTAAGACTGAAACTAAACAAAAACTAAAAAACAAAGAAAAAAGAAAAAAAATGTGTTGATTTGGGGTCCGATTTTGTCTATTTTAACACCGTTTTGCGCTAAATTTTTTATACTATTTTGATAAAAGTAGTATAAATAATTCGAATAAAAAATTTAAACAAACATATCCTAAAATAAAATAAAATCACACTGAATTAAATAAAAAACACAACAAAAAATAGAATTAATTTAAAACACAATACTTTTGCTTCATTCTTTTCCCACTTTTGTCTCCATTTCTTTTATGCCTTTTTTTTCTCCTTTCTTCTCTTATTTTTAGAAAAACAATTTGTGTAACCATTACTATAAATGAATCTGCGCGCGCTAAAGACCAGTTTTAATACTAAAGTCATTTTGGTACCCTTTATTATAGTTAAATATCTTATTAGTACCGATGCTTTTAAAAATACTAAAATGGTACATTTACCTCTAAAGAAATATTCTTTTGGTACTCTGGGACCGATTTTTCAAACATAAAATTCCAAGCTGCCCTTTTCACTTAATTAATAGAAACTAATAACTTTATAAATAATTTTCAAAAACATTTTTAGCTTATTTTATTTTTAATTTTTAAACATTTAAAGTATTTAAAGAATTTTTTTTTAAAATTATTAGTTTGTTGTTAATTAGTGAGAAAGGTCTTAAGATATCGAAAGAATTTTTATTTAAAGGTGAATGTACTTCTTTAATATTTTTAAAAACACGGGATACACCCAGCAAAATATTAAGGTATTAAAATGATTTTTTATCCCTTAATAAAAAAAAATTAACAATCATTGATTCTTGTATGTGACAACATCGTTAGCACCATCAAGGGGCTTAAATATCTTCTCATTTTTTCTTCATGAGAACAATACATGAACACACACACACACACTCGCATATAATTTTAGAGAATAAAAAAAAATGGCATGGCCGTTTCATTGTGTAACGCCCTTTAGAATTAAACATGTTTAATTATGCTAAACTGTGGATTATTAGTGTGCCTAATTTGATTTTCATAATTAATTAAGAGACTTTAAAGGCAGTATTGGTGGAGTGGTATGAAGAAGGATGTTCGCCAATATGTGTTAGAATGTGTGACTTGTCTTCGAGTCAAGGCTGAACATCGGAAACCTGCTGGAGAATTGCAGCCTCTTCCTGTTCCTGGATAGAAGTGGGAACACATTACGATGGATTTTCTGATGGGATTGCCAAGGACTGAACATCGACATGATGCCATATGGGTCGTTGTGGATAGGTTAACGAAGTCTACGCACTTCATTCCCTTTCATGCGACTTATTCCAGGAAAGTTCTAGCAGAGTTGTATCTGGAGCACGTTGTCAGACTTCACGGAGTTCCGTTATCTATCACTTCAGATCGTGACACTCGTTTCAACGCTAGATATTGGAGAAGTTTCCAAGAAGCCATGGGAACCGAATTAAATTTTAGCACCGCATTTCATCCTCAGACCGACGGACAATCTGAGAGAGTTATTCAGATTTTGGAGGACATGCTTCGCGCTTGCATTCTAGATTTTGGTGGAAACTGGAATAAGTATCTTCATTTAGCTGAGTTCGCCTACAATAACAGTTATCAGAGTAGCATTGGGATGGCCCCATTCGAAGCATTGTATGGCAGACCTTGTAGATCGCCAGTTTGTTGGCTTTAGTCAGAAGATCGACTGACCCTTGGACCAGATGTTATCCAGGAGAATAATGAAAAGATAGCCGTGATCCGGGAACGACTGTTAACGGCTCAGAGTCGTCATAAGAGTTATGCTGACAGGAGGCGTAGACCCTTATAGTTTTTAGAGGGCGATTTTGTCTTGTTAAGAGTCTCTCCGCGCAAAGGGGTTACTCGCTTTGGTGTGAAGGGGAAACTTGTGCCAAGGTACATTGGACCGTTTCAGATCACACAACGAGTCGGTGTCGTTGCTTACCGCCTTGATCTTCCTCAGGAATTGTCCCACGTGCACAATGTGTTCCATGTTTCAATGCTTTGAAAGTGTCAACCTGATCCAGAAGCCATTGTGTAATGGTATGATGTGCCGATCCAATATGACACGACTTACGAGGAAACGCCCATACAAATTCTTAACCGGAAGATGAAAAGCCTACGTCAACGTGAGATACCGTTAGTGAAGGTGTTGTGGCAACACCATGGCGTTAAAGAAGCAACGTGGGAATTGGAAACGACGATGCAGGAACGATATCCGTATCTGTTCATATCGTGAGGTAAATTTCAATTTCAGGGAT